TATACATACATATATGTATATATGCATATATATACATATAAATACATATATATATATATACATGTATGTATATATATGCATATATATGTGTATATATATATATACATATATGTATATATATATATAGTGATTATATGTATATATAAACAGAATAATATATATAGATATATATATTATATATATAAATATAATAATATATACAGATTCATATTATATATATATATATATATAAAGAATAATATACATAGATACATGTGTTATATACATAATATAATATATATCCTACATAAATATATGTGAAATATATATATATAAGAAGAATAATTGTGAAATGAAAATAAACATTTGAAAATAAAATAAAATCCATCTTTTCAACTTGTGGGGCCCCGCGGCGCAAACTTTGCCACTTTTTAAAATCAAGTTTTCAATTAAATGAATTTAAAAGAAGTCCAAAGCCCCTGCTTTGTGGCTAGCTAGCCAAGGCTTTGTAGCTAGCTAGCCCGGGCTTTATGGCTAGCTAGCCTGGGCTTTGTAGCTAGCTAGCCCGGGCCTTGTAGCTAGCTAGCCCAGGACTTATGGCTAGCTGTCCCGGGCTTTGTGGCTAGCTAGCCCAAATTTTGTGGCTAGCTAGCCTGGGCCTTGTGGCTAGCTAGCCTAAGACCTGTAGCTAGCTAGCCCAGGACCCGTAGCTAGCTAGGCCTTTTTCTTGGGCTAGCTGGGCCAGGCTTTATAGCTAGCTAGGCCAGTCTCTGTGGCTAGCTAGCCTGGGCTTTGCAGCTAGCTAGGCCACGCCTTGTGGCTAGCTAGCGAGTCAGCAGCCCCGGGCTAGCTAGCTAAGAAGATTAAAGAGTGAAATAAAATAAATTAATTGAAAGCAAATGAAATTAAAGAATTTAATTAACTAATTAGTGAAATCAACAGCTAGTCCGGGCCCACAGGCAGGGCCTCCCAAGCTAGCTGCCAGCTAGCTGGCAGCTAGCTGCCAGCTAGCTCGTAGCTAGCTAGCGGTGGCAGCTAGCTAGCTGCTGCTGCCAGCTAGCTACACAGCTAGCTAGCTGCCACCGATAGCTAGCTGCCAGCTAGCGCTCAGGGGCAGCTAGCTGCGGCAGCTAGCTGGCGGCGGCAGCTAGCTAGCGGTGGCAGCTAGCTAGCAGCGGCAGCTAGCTGGCTGTGCTGCTGCTGCTGCGCGGCTGCTGCTGCGCTTGCTGCACCAAAGTTTCCGTTATTTCTCCGTTTCAAAATACATTTTAATGAGCTTTCGTGACTCTTGTCTGAATTAATAAAATAATTTTATTTCAAATTTCAAAAAGCAGAAAATTCAGCTTTCGTTTCACCCACGTTCTGCGGCACGAGGTGTACAGACACCCGAATTCAACTTTTGGAGTTTTTGAATTTTTCGGATTTTTGGGATTTTTGGATTATTTAAAAAGCCTTTTGAAATTAATAAAATAGTTTTGGCAATTTTTTTGAAATTTGGATCTTTTTGACGCAAAAATTTCGTTTTTAACTTCAGTTTTGCTGCTGTTTCCAAAATTCAGATTCGGCACTTGAATTCAACTTTTCTGCATTTCGCGGCGAACTTGAATTTGAACCTTTTAAAATTTAATTCTGAATTTTAATTCTGCATTTTGCGAAATAAAATGAAAGTTTAATTTCACATTCAAAACAATTAAACAAAAATTAGTTGAAAGTGGAGTTCAACTTTTTGAAGAGTTGATTAAAATCTGAAGTTCAACTTTTTGAATAATTCGTGGAAGTTCAAATTCAACATTTTGGAAAGAAAGCTGCAGCTTAAAATTCAATTTGAAATTAAAATTCAACTTTCATTTTTGAAATCAGAATTCTTACGCGGGTTGGAATCTATCATTCCATTTAATTCACAAAGTATTTTACTTTTAACTAAAACTACAAATAAATTTATTTCTAATTAATTTGAAAATTAGAGAATCCGAATTCAACATTTTCTGCAGCCAGTTGGAAAATGGAGTTTCGCGTTTCTGTAATATTTGGCTGAAACTGAAATTCAACTTTTTCTCAAATTCAAAAAACCATTTTCGAATTTATATTTTGAAGAATTCGTTAATTAAAAAGATAAAAGTCTTTTAATTCTAAAGAATTAATTTAATTGATTTTTGTTTTGGGGAGCACTTGGCAAATCCCGAAATTCCGATTCTCTTCATCTCACGAGGTGTACAGACACTCCAGCTCCCAGTGGCCTCCAACTCGCCGCCAGTTCAGCTCCAGTTGAAACGAAAAAGCTGCAGTCAGTTTTTAAAAAGAATTATTTTTAGTTTTGTTTTATTGCAAGTTCAAGTTTCGGGAATTCAAGTTTTGCTGCTGCAGTCTGGGGAGCAGCAAGTTGCGCGCTGCTGCTGCTGCCAGCCCGCAGAGCTCGCGCGCGCGAATTGGCAGCAGAAAAGAGTTCAAAAAGAAGAATTAAATGTTATTTTAAATTAAAAATGAATTTAAATTTAAATTAAAAATGAATTTAAAATAATATTTAAACTTTTAAACTTCTGAAAAGGAGGAACAAGGCTCGGAAGCCGTGGGCAACCGAAGCTGTATGTACACTTGGGACGGCCACGAAAGCGAATTGCGGATTTTGAAGTTTATTAAAGATTATTATTTTAAATTTAAATTAAATTATTAATTTAAAATGGAATTAAAGTGTTTGCTGCGGCTCGTTGCTGCTGCTGAGCGCAGCGCAGCAGCTGCTGCAGCACTGCAGCAGCCACTCTTGCACCAGTGGTCCATCGCTGCGCGCAGCGGGCCTGCTGCCCCCTGCTGCTGCAGCAGAAGCTTTCTTTTCAGATTAATCTTTTAAATAAATTTAAAATAAATAAAACTTTGAAGTTCAAAACAAAATAAAGACAGCAGCAAAGACTTTCCAGTCTTGCGGGCCGAGGACCACTGGTGCAGCAGCCGCGCCGCGTTCCTCCTTTCTTTTTAACAGCAGCAATATCCTTTTTAAGCAGCAGCAGCAGCAGCAGCAGCAGCAGCAGCAGCAATTGGTTTTTCGAACTTTCTCCCTGCAGCAGAAGGCGCAGCTTGCTGCAGTGTTGCTGCTGCTGCTGCTGCTGCTGCTGGCCTCGAGTGCAGCCCCCGGGCCATTCCGGAGTCCCCGAGCCAACAAATTCCACTTTTTGTTTAATTAAAAATAAATTAAATGTTTTATAATTAACAATTCTATTATGGCATTTGCTGCAGCAGCTGGCGGGCCTGCTCAGGTGTACGTACACTCCGAGGACCCCCGCCTGCTGCTGCCTGCTGCACCTCTCGAGACCAGCAGCAGCAGCAGCAGCAGCAGCAGCAGCAGCAGCAGCAGCAGCAACGCGGGCTGCCGCACTCATTTTTGCCACTTTCAATAAATTCAAATTGACAATTTCTGTTGGAAGAAGCAACAGCAAAAGCCAAAAGACAAAGCGGCGGCGTTCGCAGCAGCAACTGCAGCAGAAGCAGCTGCCAGTGCAGCAGCAGCAGCAGCAGCAGCAGCAGCAGCAGCGCAGCAGCTCCCGCCAACACTGAGGCACTCCTTCGGGTGTCTTTGGCAAAAACAAACAACTTTATGGGCTGACGCAGCAGCAGCAGCAGCAACACAACGGGAAAGTCCTCGCCGCAGCTGCAGCAAGAGAGACGGGAGCAGCAGCAGCAGCAGCAGCAGCAGCGGGACGAAAGGCGCAGCAGCAGCAGCAGCAGCGGCAGCAGCAGCAGCAGCAGCAGCGGCGCTGGCAGATGCAGCAGCAGCAGCAGCAGCAGCAGCAGCAAGGCGATACAAGCAACTCCTCAGCCACAGCTGCATGCATTGGCGACGCAACTGAGGACTGCCGCAGTGGCTTTGAAGGCAGCAGCAGCAGCAGCAGCAGCAGCAGCAGCAGCAATATCAACAGGAGCAACAGCAGCAGCAGCATCAACAGGAGCAACAGCAGCAGCAGCATCCAAAGCAGCAGCGGCAGCCAGAACAACCTGTGCAGCAGAGGCAGTCTCAGTGGCAGCAGCAGCATGGCCGGCGGCGGGAGCAGCAGCAGCAACAGCAGCAGCAGCAGCAGCAGCAGCTACGAGTCTGCCAGCTGCTGGAGTCCTGCAGCGCGTACAGTGGGCGGAGTGCGTTTAGCTGCTGCTGCTGCTGCTGCTGCTGCTGCTGGCACTCCGGAGGAGAGTCAGCAGCTGCTGGCATTCCTGGGGCCGCAGGTGCTGCAGCAGCAGGAGCTGCGGCTGCAGCAAGAGCAGCTGCAGCAGCTGCAGCAAGAGCAGCTGCAGCAGCTCCAGCAGGAGCAGCTGCAGCAGCTGCAGCAAGAGCAGCTGCAGCAGCTGCATCAGCTGCAGCAGTTCCAGCAGCTCCAGCAGCTGCAGCAGCTGCAGCAGCTGGAGCGGCAGCTGCAACAAGTGCAGCAGCAGCAGCAGCAGCAGCAGCAGCAATTTCACCCGCAGCAGGTAGACAGCCTGCGCGGGAGCCCCGAGAGCTGCTGCTTCCTTTCTGCTGCTGCTGGCAGCCCAATGAGTGTGTCTTCTGCTTCTGTGTTCCCCGACGCGAGCAGCAGCAGCAGCAGCAGCAACATCAGCAGCAGCAGCAGCAGCAGCAGCAGCAGCGGGGGTGCGCTGCTGCGCTACTGCAGCAGCACGCGCCTCGTGAGCCCTGCAGCAGCAAACCACTCCCCCTTTGAAAGGACTGAGACGGAGATTGAGAGACTGTACGAGAGGCCGGCCCGCGGTGCAGCAGCAGCTGCTGCTGCTGCTGCTGCTGCAGCTGCTGCGGGAACTGCTGCTGCTGCTGCTGCTGCGCCTGCTGCTGCTCTAGCTGCTGCTGAAGTTGCTGCGCCCGCTGCAGGGGCTCGCGGCGCTGCTGCAGCTGCTGGTGCTGCAGCTGCTGCACAGGCCTTCCCTGCAGCAGCTGCTGCTGCTGCTGCTGCTGCTGCAGGGCCCCCTGTCTTGCCTGAGGGGCCCCTCGTGTTGGGTGGTGTTGCTGCTGCAGTTGGCAGTGGGGTTGCTGCTTCGCCTGCTGCGGCTGCTGCTGCTGCTGCGGCTGCTGGCGGACCCGCGTATTCGGGGCTCGCAGCAGCCGCTGCTGCTGCTGCTGCTGCCGCCGCTGCTGCTGCAGACACGAGCAGCAGCAGCAGCAGCAGCGGCGCGGGTGCTGCTGCTGCAGCGCGCGGCGCGCTGGCGAGCAGCCGCAGCGACGCGGGAAAAAGCGCAGCAGCAGCAGCAGCAGCAGCAGCAGCAGCAGCAGCAGGGGGCGGGCCGTGGCAGCCAACTTATATCACAAATCCGGGATTTATTTCCAGAAAGTCTTTTGAAAAATTAATTACAAAACAATTTATTTTTCGCGAAGTTTCGCCAGCAGCTCTGAGGCTCCTCGTGGCCTTCAACGGCTACTTGCTGGAAGACGCCACGGGCGAACTGGGACTCGACAGACTCCCCTTCTTCCACGGTAAACCCTAAACCCTAAACCCTAAACCCTAAACCCTAAACCCTAAACCCTAAACCCTAGGCCCTGAGCTGCAAGCCGTGGACGGGGGATTCGGAAGAGCCCGGAGGCGTTCGGCGGAACTTTGAAGGGCGCGAAATTTGGACAAGTCTAAAAAACCCTAAACCCTGGCCCGAAACCCTCAGCAGCCCTAAACCCTAAACCCTAAACCCTAAAAAAGGGTTTGCAGCAGTTCGTCCGCCTTTCCTTTGCTGCTGGTCTTCTGCCTTCCCTCTGCGTCTCTTTTTTCTGACGAGCCTTGCTGCTGCTCCCGCTCAACCTCGCTCTTCATCATCAGCTTTTCTGCTGCTGCTGTGCTGCTGCTGCTGCTGCTGCTGCTGCTGCTGCTGCTGCTGCTGCTGCTGCTGCTGCT